CTTTAAAAGTTTTATCAAATTGCTTAATAAATTATACCTCTAAAACTTAAATTAAACAAGTTCGCCTTGAAATACTGCCAAAATTTTTGCAAAAAATTTTTTTACAAAATTGGCTATTTTTAGCTTATATATAACTCTAAATTTTTTTGATAATTTTAAAGGGGCTTATGAATTTTGAGATTAATTTCTTTGCTGGTCTTTTTCTATTTTCTTGTGGATTTAGGTTTGCTGTATTTAACATTACTAAATCCCCTTCTTTAAATTCTAGGTATTGTCATTTTTTGTTGGCTTGGTCACTTTGTTTTTCTTGTGCATTTACTAATGAATCTTTCGCTATATTTATCATTTCAGTCCAATGTTCGAACAATTTTTGCATGGCTTTCACATTTGTTGGGTTTATCTTTACGTTCATTAGGCTTAATGGTGTTCTTGGGTGGTGTCCATTATCTAATTGGAATGGCGTATAACCTGTGGATCCTTGCAATGAATTATTATACGAAAATTCTCAGCAGGTAAAATTTCTTTCTAATTATCCTGCTTGTAGTTCACGTATGCACGCAATATTTCTTCAAGGATTCAGTTGATTCTTTCCGTCTGGCCATCTGTTTGTAGGTATGCTACTGTTGACATCTTTAGCTCCGAGCCTATTATTTTAAAGAGATTTTTCCAAAATTTGCTAGTGAATTTAGGATCTTTATCAGAAATTATGAAACGCGGTAACCTGTAATGTTTTAGAATTTCTTTGAAGAAAAGTCGGGCTACTTCTATTGCTGTTACAGAGCCTCTGGTGGGTATAAAATGTGTTTTTTTGCTTAGTCTGTCTACTACAACTATTATTGAATCGTTTCCATTTTTTGTTCGTGGTAGGTGTGTTATGAAGTCCATTAACACCATTTCCCAAGATTGTGTTGGTATCTCTAGTGGTTGTAATAATCTGGCTGGGGCTTGCGTGGAGCTTTTATTCCTCTGACAGCTGTTACATTTTCTTATGTATTTCTTCACGTCTTTACTCATATTTTTCCAGTAGTAACTTCTTCTTAATGCTTCGTAGGTTTTTTCAAATCTGAAATGCCCATTCATGTCGTGGCTTTCTTTCAATAAAGGCCTTCGTTCTTTGGATTCTTTCGCTATACTCAGTCTTGGTTCCTCTGCTCCTTCTTTAAAAAATAATAATTCACTTTCTTTTAATTCAAATCTACCTACCTGCTTTCCTAATCTTTTGGCTTCTTCGCTTTTAGGATCTTCTAACGCTTTCAAGATTCTTTTAAGGTATGTATTTTCTTTATATTCTTCTTTTATTCTTTCGTATATATCTTCTTTGATACTAACTTCCATTATTGTGTTTACTTCAGATTTTCTTGATAATGCGTCTGCTACCATGTTGTCTTTTCCGGGTTTGTATTTGATAGTGAAATTGTATGCTTGGAGAGTTTCGACCCATCATACTTGTCTTCAGGACAACTTTGTTTGTGTTGGTAAGTACTTTAATGATTCGTGGTTAGTTATTATTTAAAGGCATTTCCTTCCAAGTATACATGCCAAATTTTTAGTACGTGGATGATTGCCAGGAGTTCTTTTTCATGGATTAGGTAATTTAGTTCTGCAGGGGTTAATTTTCTTAATTCGTATGCTACTGATTGTTCTCCTGAGCCTTGGTCGTGGCATAGAACTGCACCAATCACGATATCTGAAGCATCCGTGGCGAGTATAAACGGCTTGTTGTGGTCTGGAATTAATAAGGTTGGGGCAGATATTAGTGTTTCTTTGAGCTTTTTGAAAGCTGTCTCTTGCGGTTCTTTCCATTCAAAGTTTTCATCTTTCTTTAATAGTTTCGTTAACAGGGCTGCGATGTTTGCGAAATTCGTTACGAACTTTCGGTAGTAGCCTGCAAGACCTAGAAATGATCGGAGGTCGTGAGTGTTGGTAAGTGTGGGCTATTCTTGAATTGTTTTAATTTTCTTTGGGTCCATTTTTATTCCTTCTTGCGAGATTATGTATCCTAAGAATTCCACTTCCTTCTTACCTAATTCGCATTTTTTCATTTTTTCATATAGCTTATTCTTTCTTAGAATTTCCAACACTTCTTTTACGTGCTTGTAGTGTGTTTCTTTTGTTTTGCTGTATATCAGTATATCGTCTAGATATATGATGACACTTTTGTCTAGTTGTTCTCGGAAGATGTCGTTCATTAGCCTCATGAATGAGGCAGGAGCATTTGTCAGGCCAAATGGCATGACTAAAAATTCATAATGCCCATATCTTGTTCTAAATGCTATCTTGGGTGTGTCTTCTTTTTTTACCCGTATTTGGTGGTATCCCGAATGGAGGTCTATCTTACTAAAATATTTTGCACCTGATACCTGGTCTAATAACTTGTCGATACATGGTAAGGGGTATCGATTTTTAACTGTTATTTTATTTAGTGCGTGATAATCAACACACATTCTCAACGTTCCATCTTTCTTTGCTACAAATAATACAGGGGCTCTATATGGTGATGTACTAGACCGGATGATTTCTTTATTTAGGTAATCTTCTATTTGTTTTTTTAATTCTTTGTTTCTAGTACTGACATCTTGTATATAGGTCCATATGGTGGAGACGTCCCTTCCTGTAACAGTATTTCATGATCTACGTTTCTTTCTGGCAGTAATTCTTTAGGTAATTCATCAGAAAATACATCTTGATATTGTTCTATCAATTCTTTTAGAAATTCTGATATCTTTTCTTGTTTAGGTCCTTTTTCAGCATCTTCTACGGCAAGTACGGCGTATAGTTCTGAGATATTTCTTGTTTCTTTAGCGAACTGTTGTCTTGTGATTGATATTGTCTGACATTCCTTTATATCTTTCTGTTCTTTTGCTTTAATTTTGTAGGTATTTTCATCTTTTCGGATTATGACTTGGTTGCTTTTCCAATCTATTCTTGGGTTTAGATCATAAAGCCATAGTTTCTCTAAGATTAGATCGTATTTTTGTAGAAGTAAGATTTCTACGTTCTCTCTTGTGTCTTTGTAGTTTTGTATTTCCATTTCTACTTGTGGTACAGTTCCTTTTGATTCATATTGTGATCCATCTGCTAGTTCAATTGTAGTAGGTACTGATTTTTCTTTCCTAATCTCTAATTGTGCTTCTTTTACGAACTTTTTATTTATGAAGTCTTTAGACGCTCCAGAATCGATCAAAATTAATGCATCTCGTCCTGATACTTTCGCTTCCATCTTCAAGAGGTTTTCGCGGTTCCGTTCATTATTTATTTCTTCTGTTTCTGGTAGGTCTTTACCTTTCTTTTCATTATTTCTATTACTTTTTCTTGAATCTACTTTTTCCACTTGATTAATTTCGTTTCTTGTTTTATTTTTACTTTGTCAGTCTTTTGCCATGTGTCCTTTCTTTCTGCAGACGAAACATAATCTTTTCCTTTTATATTCTTCTTTTTGTTCCTCTGCTAACATTATTCTTTCTTTTCTTTCGTTTGTAGATTTAGCATTCCTTGGGCATCCCTTTTCCATTCTGTCCAACTCAATTGGCATAGGGCTTTGACTTCGGACTTGTGGTAAGTAGCTTGAAGTGTTTTTGTATCTCTAACTCTCTTCGCTTGCTTTTGGGTTTCTTTCCGAATGGTAACTCTAATTATTTCTTGTGCCATACATTGCTGAATCGTAACTTGCTGCGAGTCTTACTGCTTTATCTAGGGTTTCTGGAGTCTGATAGTTGATTTCAGCTTTTGTGGCTCCTTTTAGCCCTTCGGTGAAATACATCACTTTATCTGCTTCAGCGATATCTTCTATTTGTCCCAATAGGTTTCTAAATCTTCCAGCATATTCTTGGACTGTTGACGTTTGCCTTAGGCTTCTTAATTGTCACCTTAGAAGTTGTTGGTGGTGGAGCAGTTGGAATGCATCTTTAATACTGGTAGAAAATGATTTCCAGCTTGTAAATAGTTGGTTGCTTTCGTCAGCTTAGACTAAGTTTAAATACTATTGCAATACTGCGTCTTTTAAGCCAGTTATTATATACTGCAGCTGCTCCTCATCATCCACTTTTTTGGCTTTAAAGAGGAGGTCTACTTGGAGAAGCCACGTGAGGACATTTTCGCTATCTTTCTCGCTAAACATTGGTAAGTGAACATTCAATCCTTTAGACCTGGCATCTTTTGTTTCTTTCAAATCTGTATTAAAGATACTTCTTGACATTTCTGTAGGTTTTGCGGTCTCTGTGACTAATGTTTGTAGGCGGTCGTTAGTCGTTTGTTATTGCTGGGTCGTATTAGCGAGGTATTGGTTGAACTGGTTTTGATTTTTGAGGAACTGTTTGAACATGTTTATGAAGCTGGCGTCTGTTACATTTATATCTTCGTCATTTATTTTTTTTTTATTTTTTTTTTTTTAAATAGTTTTGGTGGTGACTTTATTTCCACTGCTACTAAATGTAACCGTATCTATTAAGAGTAGATAGGTTTGGGGCGAATTTATGTATGAAATGAAGCAAACTGAGGTTTTATTCTTTAAAAATACTGCAAGCCAAAGCCTCTCTAGCTTTCTTTCTTTTATATATTTTTATATCGTATTTTACAATACAATTGCTTAACTATGACTACATTCAAATGCATGGTCGTTACGCTTTCTAATGACTAATGCTAACACGATTCCGACCTTACATCACATTCACGTGATGTACATTTGTTTTATGAATCTCTGATGCGATCATTGCATGAACTTCCAGCATGTTCGTTATGCGACATGTGCATTGTGCAACGTGGCTCAGCAGTTCCTTTACAATTTGGATACAAGAAAGAAAAGAAGAAAAAAAGCTATTATACAAAAAAGAGATCAAGCTTTAGCAAAGAGAAAAGTAGAAAGAGAAATCTTAGAGGACTACTCAAAAGCCTCTTAGCTCTAACTAAAAAAGAAGAAACAAAAACCAGCTCAGATAGTAGCTATTAAAGTGATAGAGCTCTAAATTGCTTCTAAATTGGCATATTAGTTGAATTACAGAAAGCTTAGATCTCTCAAAAAGGAAAACTTAGAAATTAGAAAAGGGCAAAACAACTTAAAAACTAATCTAAAGTTAATAAAAATAGAGATTTTAGAGTACTTAAATTAGGTACACACAATATCAATAGTCTCAAAACAAGTAGTTATAAACTTAGTATAATTCTAGAATAGACAAAATAAAAAAAGTTAGATATACTAGATATTTGTAAAACAAATATTTTAGAGTTACAAAGCAGATTTTTAGTTCTAAAAGATAGAGACTATATAGAGTTTTGAACAAGAACAAATGAAAACAAACTAAAAGGGTCAGGAGTAGGACTAGTAATTAAGAAAAATTAGGAAAAACATATTGAACAAGTCAATAGATTTAGTAATTACTATATCGACATCTTATTACTATTTAAAAGATATAAGTTAGTAATTATTAATACCTATATACTACTAAGTAACAAAGAAAAAAAGAAAAAAATTTAGCAATTCATAATATGAAAGATTAGAGAATACAAAAAAAACAAAATATATATTATTATTATAGGAGATTTTAATAATATAAGATAAGGTCTAGTGATTTAGTATAGTGGATAGATTGTCAGACTGTTATGCAATAGGTTTGGAGTTCAAATTCTTCTGTTGATACTTTGAATAATTACTTAAATCTTGTATCCAACTTATGGTAAACTTTGTTTGTTTCTAGGGTTGTAACTCTGTAAATCACATTGCACCAATGTTGTTTAGATATTGGAAGTATGACAGAATATTGGAGTTATATTACATGAATAAATCAAGATAAGATCTACAGGTAGAGAATCTGCATAGTAGAAATTCCGAGTTAGGTGAAGTAGTATAGATTTCGATAGTCATGCCAGTTAACACTTGATCTGACAAAGATTTCTGAGTACAAAGACATAGATCGAGTAGGTGTGAGTAAGTCTGTGACATTAGATGTTACAGCAATACTAACTTGGCTTAGCAGCTAACTAGATTAGGAGGATCTACTTCATGAAACATTCAGAAAAATACAGAAGTCTAAACTAGTAGAAGGCTATAGCTAGAACTAGGTTTGTACGAATATCGAATAAGGGTATATACAAGCTAGAATGGAGATATAGTGTAGCATAGTTGGGTATTGTGATACCTATCTGTTAGGAGGCATTGAAGTAGGACTTATTCAGATAAGATCTAGACCTATAATAGTAAAGTTGTAACAAATATTAGCTTGGGTGCCTCCTAATATAAAGTAGTACAGAGTTTGAGTTAACTATAAGAGTAATACTTTTGGTAAATGAGGTAGAGCTAGAGAGTTTAAATAGGAAATCTTCTAAGAGATTTTAGGTATAGTAGCTAGTATAGAACCTTCAGGTAGACTACTTAAAATAGATAACCT